AAAAAAAAAAAAAGAAGAAAGAAAGGAGCCAGCACCCAAAGAAAAAAAAAAAGAAGAAGAAGAAGAAGGAGGCCAATGCCCAAAAGAAAAAAAAAAAAAAAAGAAGAAAGGAAGCTAACGCCCAAGGGGGCCACCATTGCTTGCCACTTAAACAGTTATCTTAGGAAGTCTAGATCTTGTGACCTGAAGTTAGTTGTATAGGTCTCAAAAAGAATTTTTGGTTCTTTCAACGGAGAAAAAGATGCTCTTATTATATGTGATGATGGATATGATGCTTTGGGCAAAAGACCACCAGAAAAAATCTTGGAGCACTCAATCAGTAAAGAAGTTTATAAGAGCAATGCATCTGGGCCTGCAAAGAACACCCCATTTTGTTCTCTTGGCACCGCCATCAGCAAAGGTCACCTAGTCTCCAAATAATGGAAAAAAAGCTACCATGTGGAGCAAGAAAACTCCTATTCAAGCGAAGAAGAAGTGAATGCCCTCAACCCCTTCCTCTCTCGAAAAGTTAGAGACTTGTGGCATGGGGAGCAAATGATGAGCCCAAAAGTAACTTGGCCTAGCCTAATAAAAATAAACGGCCCAAATGATTAGTATCCAGAAAGGAGCCTAAACTTGCCAGGCACAAAAGGAGATCAAGAAGCCAATGCCCAAAAGAGGGAGCAAGGGGGCGCTACCCAAGGGCTAGCCTCTTGTTCCTCCTTCGTCCTTTTAACTTTGTCACTCCAACTCAAGTCTAGTCAAGTCCAACCCAGCTCAGGATGTCCAACCTAGATCAGGATCCTTCTACCAATGAAATAGGAGCACAAGGAGAGAATATCGGGATACGCACGGAGGCCTAATCCTACCATAATTGTACTTACCAAAATAGTAGAAGCATTCTCCCTCACGATACCGCCTCACCGCCTTACTAAACCTGTATAATGTAAATCCTCTACACATAAAAAAGACAACACATTCAGACCTCACACACATCTCTCTACACACATTGTCCCTCTCTCTCTTCCAATCTTTGTAATACACCCGGAGTTATTCTATCGAATGCATTATTCAATAAAGAACTTTGGCCACTGCTACCGTTCACGAGAGTGGAGTAGGTCATCCGAACCGAACCACTATAAATCTGTGTATTTGGCCTATTATTTAATGTTTCGCATTGATCGCTTTACTTATTGCTCATTACCTGCACCCATTTATATACTCGATTGTTGATTTTGCGCAATACTGATTTGTGCATCATCAATACCATTTGACTGAATTTTTTTTTTTTAAAAACAACAATCTTTTCTGCAATATATGCCTTGTTCACATTCATACCATTACCTTCAAGACTGTGACAACCACTTTCTCCTACATGTAAATGCTTTCCTTGGCTGCCAAAGTCTCCCCTCAAAATTAGGCTTGAAAGCTCCATATGGCCAAGTGAGAATTCCCCAAAAAAAAGGAAGCCAAACGCATGAGATTTCCTTTATTACAAGTTCGGGGTAAATGAGATGTAAAAAGGCTAATTCTACGATTCAAGTTTGTAATAATTTTACCTCCACCAGAAAGTCGATTAAGAAAGAAAAATGTGAATAGAAAAATCTAGTTGAAGCCTGAAGGGCATGTTCCATAATAATCCAAAGAAAACTCAACAGTATGAAACGAGACTTTTTAAACTCCATTGTGCAACGCAATGTCATTGCTATCGTTGCCTCAGACATCATTAATTTTAGAATCTTCTTTTCTAATAATAGGGCCGGCCAATGGAAAAGTCCTTCCCTGAGAAAAAATATTTGGGGTAATTGTTACACTACGTCATCATGCTGATATAGTTTAACCTTTCAATAACAATACATGTGGATAAGTGGATCCCACATAATTAAATAACTACTCATTTATGTCATGTAATAACTATCACATAGAAGATCCACTTATTAACACTTGTTATTGAACGGTTACATCTAATATCTTCTTCTTGCCTAGGGCTCCTCAATTTTAAGGGCCCAATTGAATTTTTGGTCCCAAGTTTAATAATGAAAAAATTGGGTGTGAGCATATTTTTTAAGACATTTGAGAGCAAGTTCATTGTTCAAATT